TGCCGTTTTGACCAAATAACACGAGGGAAAATAAGATGAAACCAAGAGCTGAAGGATTCACAACTGAAATGATGCGATGGCCGCCATCTTGATTTCACATTGTGAGAGGAATCTGGGGAGAGTTCAAATACCCGTGGGGACTGGGGACCTTGGGGGACCCTTAAAGGAGGACCCAAGCTCGCCTTTTTTTTGTTCGTTTAGCCTGTTCCAGGCGTTCAGATAGTGGGGAGCGATGCGAAGTAAAAAGGAGCGAGAAAAATAAAAGCCAGGGAGGGGGAGAGGTATCGCTTTCTTTACTTCGCACCGCTCTTCACTATCTGAACGCTTGGGACAGGCTATTGTTCGTTTGATTGTTTTAGCAGTTTTTATTTGGAGACAAAGGTATGCCTTATCACTCCGACTGCAACATTTATGCCAATGCCGTCAATGAGATCAATTTGGTTTGCAGATTTTATATGAGGAATAAGATGAACCACTAAATACTTTTAGCTACAATGTATTTAGCCTCCCCCGCAGACGTTCTTAAGGGTTCGTCGCGCGTTCCTGCCCCGCTAAGGGACCGGTCATTATTTATGTAGAGGGGGGAGAGGGGGAAAAAGAAGCGGGGGAGGGGTCAAAGCTATTTCAGATTGGCTTGATGTGGGGGGCTAAACTTTTTTATAAAGAAGTTTAGGGGGGTCAGCAGTTTGGTCGCGAGGTATATTTTAAGAGGGGACAATTGGCCAAGATGGGTAAAGCAGTTAAATAGTAGGGTGCATACAATATATATGTGAAACAGTACTGCTAAATTCTACAATTTTATGCTAATCTTATTTCTTTTTGTTAAGCACCACTATTTTGTACAACTTAGTCATTTAATTTTGGCAGAAATTCTGTTTGCACTCTAAAGTTCATTGTTATTTCAAATTTTAGCCAATAAAGAATCCAGACCTATCTGCTTAAATATTTAGTTTGACTAAATTTTCTTTTAACAAAATGTTCACTGTGTCACTTCAACAGCACATGAAAAACATGATAAAACAACAGTGGTATGATAAACGTGATAAAACAACAGGAAAGTAGTCCTTTTACAAGTGTAGAAAAATCATTTGAAAAGAATTATATTTTGCCTGGTTATTACGTATATTCATTTGGCACGATTTGTAAAAATCTATCACTTTTCCTACATTTAACAAATCATCTTATGATTAGTATGTTACATGCATTTTAATACTTTTTAGAGCATATAAGAGGAGATATGAGGTGGGGGGGGGGGGTCATCACGTAAATATTGAATAAAGAAGGGAGATCACTTGCTATTTACGTGGTCTACAGAAGGGGATGGGGGTTTATAGAAATTTTGATTTTCCAACATTTTTCCCTCTCCCCCCCTCTCTACATAAAAAATGACCGGTCCCTAACTAGCGCTGATTGGCTCTGCGATAATTCTCCAACTGATGTTTGGGAACAATGGGAAAGGAATATGTCTTTCGGTTCAACAGACGTTAGTGTAACCTGCGATAAATAGACTAAACTGTTGCTAACTACCATTTACTTAAGAAAATGTTTGGAAGGAGTCTAACTTGGAAAAATCCAGGTTCTAAGTAGCGGCGTTTTACTGTATTAAATGACAAAGACAAAACCAGCTTACATAGACTTGAGTTATCAAAACTAAAGTACACGAAGTAAAATCTAGTGTAAAGCAAGAAAAATTAGATCTGAATGGTTATTCGAGGAGCTTGGCTGGACTTTCAGATAATCCATCTTCCCAAGAGAGGATAAAGCTCGCTTTTATACTCTCTTGGGTATATGGATTATTTTTCATAAATGCTTGCTAGCTTTTCTATAGTTCTTCTTTGTCTCCAAGGATTTTTTTATCTCATTTAATTGACTTATTTTCAATAATTAAATATCTATTCCAATGTCCAAATTTGATCCACATTTTAATTTTTTTTCCGCGGCTAAGGGAAAGTTCATTTAATATGACAAGGTGGGGGGGATGAAGATATTGAGGGGGGGCTCCGAAAATTTTTAGACACCCGAAGGGGGGGCTCTGAAAAAATTGTTGCGCTAGGATGGGGGGCTCCGAAAATTTGTATACTTCAAAACCAACACATGACATCATCATACAGATCGGATGGTTTTCAACTCAACAATTTAATGACCTGTGCAACTCAGCTATATCACGTGGTTTACACATATAACAAATGTAGTCTCAGTAATTATTACACTCTTGTTCATCCCAAAAATGCTTTAGAAAATTTCAAAAATTAGAAATGCTCAAACTTTTTATAATAAAACCACATTGATTCAACAAGATTTCAAAATCTGCTAACGGGAACTATAAAAACGATGACTCTGTAACAAGAAATGTTAAGAAATGAAGGAGGAGGGGGGGGGGGCTCTGAAATTTTTTCGACTACCAAGGAGGGGGCTCCTAAAAAATTGAACCGCTAGCGAGGGGGGCTGCTAAAATTTCAAGCTTCGTGTTTCAATATCTTCATCCCCCCCCCTTGTCATATTAAATGAACTTTCCCTAAATAGTAAATAGACCTATAAGCCCCTCAGTATATTGGTTAAATAACAAGGGCTTTTTACAAAATGTGGAAAATCACAGAAATAACTGGTAAAAGTCGTTTTACCATAATCATCGCCGTTTACTGAGGTCAACTGTAGATTGATGAAAGAAAAAGGTGGCGAAAGGCTGTGACAAACACGGTAAACTTAAGCTTCTGTCTGATGCAGCGCCAGAACAGCCCGATTTGACTTGTCCAATAAGATGTTATTGGAATTCTAGCCTACGGAGCAAGCCTTCCCGCCGAGTTCGCCGAGAAAGCTGTCAAAGTTGGTATGACTTCCCTCCCGCTTCCAGTTTTTTTTTGCTCCCTCACCAACTTTCGTGTAACAATTCGATTGGAAACGCTTGCTACGCTGGCTATTGGATTTCAAAAAGTCAAATCCCGAGGGGAGGTACAAAATTTTTCACCGGGAGCCTCGGCCCTGCGGAAAAGGTACCCTTTGGGATACTTTCTATAGACAAATGGTATCCCTTTTACATACCTAGTTCAGAACTCTGCACCTCTTTAAACTGCAATAAGTACACAGTCTCTTTAATATGAATAAACCCCCACATCGACGTAGGGATGATTTCCACTGTTGTGTAATTTTTAGGTGCGTACCTGCGTAAAATTGACGTTCGCAAATAAAATAGAGACAAAGCATGAACGGTCGCTCGTAAGCGTAAAAGTTGAACCTCGCTCAACTTCACGTTTAATCTCAACACGTTATATCTTGCCTCTATATTATTTACGTCGTTAAAATTTACGTGCGTTAACGTGCGTAGCCGAAAACGCGTCATTGGAAATCAACCTTTATTCACAGCCATAAAGTGCATCTCTCAGCCCTTTCAGGCCTTTTTAAGGTCCGAAACGACAGATTTCTTTTCCATTTTATTTTATTTCAACCAGTGAAATTCCCTTTCATTTTGCTTGTAAGCAAGCTCTCCGTTTGGGGAAGTCAGGAAAAAGGTCACGAAAGAGAAGCACGCAGGCTTCCTTTCATATATCTAAAGCCTGAGGTAAAGTTAAGGTAGTAGTAACTTCAAATAGAATTGTAAACCTGAATTTAAGCTACCTCCTTGAGTTTCCAAATCCCCCTGATTCCCCTTAGCTTGGCCTCCTCGAAATAGCCTGATCACACACCCTCTATTTCTCTTTAGAGGTCGCCGAGCGCCGCACGGGATTTATTGACCGCGAGCGCAAGGGGTGAGGGCTCCGCGCTAGATTCGCTCGCGTCCTCATTACATATTTTGCACTTGCAAAATCTATTACAGTCCTAGTCGAAAGCTAACTGTGTACAGGCTACCTCGAAGGGGCTGTCTAATGCCCTTCATTGCTCTGTCCCTGGGCGGGATATTATGGGGGCTTCCTCTCCCTTTCGAGATTTCTGCAGGTGTAGTCCTCTAATTTTTAGAGCAATTCTCTATGCGTGTTCCCAGTAGCTCTTCATGCCTAGAGGGATACACTTATCAATTGGCTTTCTTTTCTTGGATTTTTGGAAGTTATTAAATCGGCCATAAAGTAATACCATCAAGTGACTTTAGTATGGGGTGTTTTATTGTAAAGTGTACGAGTTAATAGACACTTGTTGAGAACGTTGAGAAAATTCCTGACTGGTACATGATGTGTTTTGTTGTGGCCTTGTTTTAAGTATTTTCGCCAAAATCTCGAGGTTGACAAAGATACGGAACGTTTTAATTTTGTTTCTGTTCAGTTTTCTATTACTTCTTGCATGTACTCGTGGATAGGATTGTGGACATTAAACCTGTTTATTTGCTGTGTAAAGCCTTTCTTTCCCGACGAGTCACAGGGCCTTTTTACAATAACTAAGTGTTTTCTCGCGGCGCGCTGATTAGTCGGGAGAAATACAGATACACGGATGACTTCACGGGAAACTTGTTCAGCAGGAACTGTTTACAAGACGGAAAAATGGAAATGACGTAATGATGGCGCAATCTGTTTTTCTCTTTCTTACGCGCGTTATTTTCCGAAAACGTCCAAAGAAATTAAGTACCCCCGAAAAATCCTCCAAAGGCATGCATTTATTACTTCTCGCTTTACGAATCATGTGATGAGAGTTTTTTAAGGAATGTTTTTTTCACTTTCGTCCATATGCTATAGTCTTGTTTTTATTATGTTCTTACAGCTGTGGGTTCAGAAACACTTCAGTTGTTATATTAATTACCGTAAATGGTATGTAGAAGACAAACCACTTATAACCCGCTGTAAGTGAGGCTAAAACGTGGGTTTTATTTTTTATGGAATAATTAAAACAGAAGCTGTTCTTTCATCGTTCATAAGTACAGTACCTGATAATCGTAGGAATGAAATGAATCGCAGGTATGAAAGTAACAAGCTTTAAACAAAACTATACGTTTCCAGTTGAAACCAGAAAAATGTGGCCAGAGAACCGAAAAGAAACCAAAAGTGAAAAAATTACAAGAACTGAAAAGCATTTTAACTTTATGAATCGTCTTCACAAACATAGGTCATATGATGTTCATAGTGTTGAAGAAGAAGAGCTTCACTACTCATCTCCTCTTGACAAATCCAACAGCTGTGTTGCTCAATGATGATGACTGATTGTGGGTCTGCTACACCACTGTTTCCAGTCTCTCTGTGTGTTGCTAGGTTGTTTGTAAAGTCTGTAGCCCTAACAGCAACGTTTTTACCCTCTGTTCTCCTCAGCTTATATGATTCCAAACGTTTACACAGAATTTCGTTTTTCTGGGAGAATTTAGGCGACCTTAATAGAGTGTGGATTCTTTCATGCTTCGTCAGGTTAATTCCTTGATTAAAACACTTGCCACAGTGTTTACATTCGTAAGGTTTCTCACCAGTATGAACTCGTTTATGTGTCCTCAGGTCCAATGATCGGCTAAAGCGCTTTCCACACTGTTTACATCTGTAAGGTTTCTNATTCCAAACGTTTACACAGAATTTCGTTTTTCTGGGAGAATTTAGGCGACCTTAATAGAGTGTGGATTCTTTCATGCTTCGTCAGGTTAATTCCTTGATTAAAACACTTGCCACAGTGTTTACATTCGTAAGGTTTCTCACCAGTATGAACTCGTTTATGTGTCCTCAGGTCCAATGATCGGCTAAAGCGCTTTCCACACTGTTTACATCTGTAAGGTTTCTCACTAGTGTGAACTCGTTTATGAACCCTTAGGACTCCTGCTTGGTTACATTCATAAGGCTTTTCCCTGGTGTGAACTCTTTTATGTCTCATTAGGTTTCCTGCTCGACTAAAACACTTGCCACACTGTTTACATTCATAAGGCTTTTCCCCAGTGTGAACTCTTTCATGCCTCCTTAGGTTTACTGCTACACTAAAACACTTCCCACACTGTTTACATTCGTAAGGCTTTTCCCCAGTGTGAACTCTTTCCTGTCTCCTTAGGCATCCTGCTGCGCTAAAGCACCTGCCACACTGTTTACGTTCAAAAGGCTTTTCCCCAGTGTGGACTCTTTCATGACTCCTTAGGTTTCTTGCACGACTAAAACGCTTGCCACACTGTTTACATTCAAAACGCTTCTCCCCAGTGTGAACTCTTTCATGACTCCTTAGGTTTCCTGCTTGACTAAAACACTTGCCACACTGTTTACATTCCAAAGGCTTCTCCCCAGTGTGAACTCTTTCATGACTCCTTAGGTTTCCTGCATGACTGAAACACTTGCCACACTGTTTACATTCAAAAGGCTTCTCTCCAGTGTGAACTCTTTCATGACTCCTTAGGTTTCCTGCTTCGCTAAAGCACTTGCCACACTGTTTACATTCAAAAGGCTTCTCCCCAGTGTGAACTCTTCCGTGACTCCTTAGGTGTCCTGCTGTGCTAAAGCACTTGCCACACTGTTTACATTCAAAAGGCTTTTCCCCAGTGTGAACTTTTTCATGAGTCCTTAGGCCTTCTGTTTGTCTAAAACACTTGCCACAATGTTTACATTCAAAAGGCTTTTCCCCAGTATGAACTCTCTTATGACGACTTAAGTGTCCTCCTTCGCTAAAGCACTTGCCACACTGTTTACATTCAAAAGGCTTTTCCCCAGTGTGAACTTTTTCATGACTCCTTAGGTTTCCTGAATGACTAAAGCACTTGCCACACTGTTTACATTCAAAAGGCTTCTCCCGAGTGTGAACTCTTTCATGGCTCCTTAGGCGTCCTGCTTCGCTAAAGCACTTGCCACACTGTTTACATTGAAAAGGCTTTTCCCCCATATGAACTCTCTTATGACGACTTAAGTTTCCTGCTGCGCTAAAGCACTTGCCACACTGTTTACATTCAAAAGGCTTTTCCCCAGTATGAACTCTCTTATGACGACTTAAGTCTCCTGCTGCGCTAAAGCACTTGCCACACTCTTTACATTCAAAAGGCTTTTCCCCAGTGTGGCGTCTTTCATGAGTCCTTAGGTGTCCTGCTTGGCTTAAACGCTTGCCGCAGTGCTGGCACTCAAAGGACATTGAGCTTACTCCTCTTTTAAGGTGTTATGGTTAGGGTACCTTTTAACAGGAAGGACAAACATTATTAGGTAAATGTAAAATTCTTTGTATTTTTTTCGGCAACGTACTGAAGAAACTTTGCCGCCAGCTAGTGAAAACAAGGGTCTGTAACAAATAGTTTAAAAGTTGAGAGGGATATTTGGAGAATATCTTAAA